AGATGGATTCTTGCTCTGTCGCCAGGCTGGCGTGCAGTGGCACAGTCTCAGTCACTGCAACCTCCGCCTCCCAGGTTCAAGCGATTCTCCTGCCTCAGCCTCCCAAGTAGCTGGGACCACAGGCACGCACCACCACACCCGGCTAATTTTTGTATTTTTAGTAGAGACAGGGTTTCACCGTGTTGGCCAGGCTGGTATTGAACTCCTGACCTCAGGTGATCCACCCTCCACAGCCTCCTAAAGTGCTGGGATGACAGGCGTGAGCCACCGTGCCTGGCCAGCCTCTGTTTTCTTTTGATTATGGCACACACTTTCCTGCCTCTTCTCATGTTTACATCTCTGTTCTAGCCCTGGGCCCGGCAGACGTTAGGGGAGGTGTGCCTAGTACACAAACACACATGTGTGCACAAAGATGGGTCACTGTCAGGGCGTGGGGAGATCGAAGGACCTGAATCAGACCAGGGCTTGTTCAGATGCTAGCTCTGGCACCGCCCAGCTGGGTCACCGTGGGTAAGTCACCACCTTGTCTAAGCCTCAGTTTCCTCATCTGTAAAATAGACTCTGGTAACCGCCTTTGCCATCCGCACACTCAGTTGGCCACTCTGGCCGGCTCACCTTGCTCCTGAGGAGCAGGAATCACAGCTCCGCTGTGGCTGAGAGGATGCTGGACACACTCAGTTGTCGGCCACTCTGGCGGGCTCACCTTGCTTCTGAGGAGCAGGAATCACAGCCCCGCTGTGGCTGAAAGGATGCTGGAGCACTCCAGCTCCACCCCAGTGGCCCCTGGCCCCCGCCATCCTGCCCATCCTCCTCCAGCAAAGCCCAGGATGTCCCCATGAGACACCTCAGGGACTCAACCAGGTGGGCAGGCTGCAGAGGAACCCTGGGAAAGGGCAGCTCTTTCCCCAAGTCTCACCCTATATACACCAAAGATGGGATTTGATCGACTTTCTTTTTTATATTCATTTATTTATTTATTTATTTATTTTTGAGGCAGGATCTGGCTCCGTCACCCAGGCTGGAGAGCAGTGGAGCAATCTCAGCTAACTGCAGCCTCTGCCACCCAGGCTCAAGTGACCCTCTCACCTCAGCCTCCCAAGCAGTTGGGACTACAGGTGTGTTCTGCCTGGCTAAGTTTGTATTTTTAGTAGACACGGGGTTTCACCATGTTGGCCAAGCTGGTCTTGAAGTCCTGACTTCAAGCAATCCACCTGCCTCAACCTCCCAAAGTGCTGGGATCACAAACTGAGCCACCGTGCCCAGCCTAAAAATTATTTTGTAATTGTGATAAGATATACGTAATGTAAAATTCACCACGCGGAGCATTTTAAGATCAGTTCAGTGGCGTTACGTACATTCACATTGCTGCAGCCATCACCACCATCTATCTCCAGAATTTTTTGACAATCCTGAACTGGAACGCGGCACCTATGAAATGCTAACTGCCTCCCCCAGCCTGGCACCCACCACTCTACTTCGTCTCTATAAATTTGACAATTGTAGGCTCCTCATAGAAGTGGCATCATGGCCGGGCGCGGTGGCTCACGCCTGTAATCCCAGCACTGTGGGAGGCCGAGATGGGAGGATCACGAGGTCAGGAGATGGAGACCATCCTGGCTAATACGGTGAAACCTCGTCTCTACTAAAAACTACAAAAAACTAGCCGGGCGAGGTGGGGGGGCACCTGTAGTCCCAGCTACTGGGGAGGCTGAGGCAGGAGAATGGCGTGAACCCTGGAGGCGGAGCTTGCAGTGAGCTGAGATCCGGCCACTGCACCCCAGCCTGGGCAACAGAGCGAGACTCCGTCTCAAAAAACAAAAAAAAGTGGCATCATAATGGCGTTTGTCTTTTATGAACGACTTAAGTCACGTGGCGTAAATTCCTCAACATCCATCTATAGTGCAGCCTGTGTCCGAATTTCCTGTTCAAGGCTGAGCACCCTTCCACTGGACCTTTCAGCCACATTTTCCTTATTCTTGTACCTGTTGGTGGACTTTTGCGTGGCGTCCACATTCGAGCTCCTGTGAACGCTGTGGCTGTGAACCTGGGTGTGCAAATATGTGCTCAAGTCCCTGCTTTCAGTTCTTTGGGATCTATGCCCAGAAGCGGAATGTCTGGATCACATGGTCATTGCAGTTTTAATTTTTTGAGGAACTGCCCTAATGTTTTCCACAACAGCTGCACCATGTCACATTTCCGCCAGCAGTGCACGAGAATTTTAATTTCTCCCCTTCCTCAGCAACAATTATTCCTCTCCCGGCCGGGCGCCATGGCTCACGCACTTTGGGAGGCCGAGGTGTGTGGTTCACCTGAGGTCAGGAGTTCAAGACCAGCCTGGCCAACATAGTGAAACCGCATCTCTACTAAAAATACAAAATTAGCGTGGCATGGTGTCAGGTGCCTGTAATTCCAGCTACTTGGGAGACTGAGGCAAGAGAATGCCTTGAACCCGGGAGGCAGAGGTTGCAATGAGCCGAGATCTCACCACTGCACTCCAGCCTGGGCAACAGAGCGGGACTCTGTCTAAAAAAAAAAAAAAAAAAAAAATCTTGCTCTCTGTATTGGGGGCGTTAAAAGAAGCCGTCCATCCCGCCGGGCCTGAGGTGGTCTCCCTGTTGTTCTGATTTGCATTTCCCATTTCCCTAATGCTCGGTGGCACTCAGCCTCGTTTCATGGGCATGATGGCCATTCGTGTGTCTTCTCTATTCTAGTCCTTTTCCATTTTTTAATCCAATGGTTTCTCTCCGATGTTGTTGAGGTGTAGGGTTCTTTACATATTCTAGACGGAATGCCTGTTCTGATACACTTTCTCCTAGTCCATGCACTGCCTTACATTCTATTAATTCATGTTTATAAAGTCCCATGTATCTATTTTACACGTTTCTGCCTGTCCTTTTCCTGTCATACCCTAGAAATCACTACCCAGTTTAACATCAAGAGGCTTGTGTTTTCCTCTGAGGTCTCAGAGTTTTAGGTCATACACGTTAAACAAGCACCAGCACCAGCAGAGTGGAGCTGCCACCAGAGGTTACAGCCAAGCGTCTGGAGCGCAGTTGTGCACCGACCAGGGAAGGCCCAGGCCTGGGTGGGCCTTTCCACAGGATCCTGGAATGTTGCTTAGGGGAGGCTGAGACCAGACTGGCAGTCACCTGTCTGGGAAAGCACCAGGCCCTGCGAAAGTCCCCATGGTGACAGTCACGTCCTGGCCACGTGAGCGAGTGTGGGGGAGGGACTGCAGGGAGGCGGAAGTCCTTGTCTTTTCCTGCAGACTGGCACGGGCAGGACCTGAGCGACCCGAAGCCGCGAGGTGCTGCCACTACTCCTGTGCCCGGTGCAACCCCAGCTCATGGGGTCTGGGCTGCCTGTGATCCCGTGCCCCCCACTTCACACTCAGGGTTCTGGCTTCCCTGCTGTGAGCCTGTCTCTCCTCTGTGGGAGGGGCCAGCCTGGGCAGCCATCCCTGTGCCCACTGCCCAGCATACAGTGGGTGTCTCATAAATGTGGGCTGAACAGAACCTGCCCCTGGGGCCTCCCTCACTGCTAGGCATACAGCAGGTGCCTCATAAATGTGGGCTGAACAGAACCTACCCTGGGGGCCTCCACTTCCCTTTGATGGGAGCAGAGAACCTTTGCCGGGCAGTGGCCACTCAGTGCCTGGGACAGGTGCCCCTTTCTCCCACCCTGGCCTATCTCGGGGCATCTGAGGGAGGGCAGGGCAGGGCTGTGCCCCCCACTTCACACTCGAGGGTCTGGCTGCCCCACCTGTGACCTTGTCTCTCCTCCGTGGAAGGAGCTGCGCCGTCTTTTTCACTCTCCACGATGACCATTCAGTGAGAAAACGTGACGGCGGCTCCTGCGTTTAAAAAGGAACCGTCCGCGTGGCTGCTGCAGGCAGGCCCCGCACTCGGGCAGTGAGGCTTCGGCCCTGAGAAGGCCCCGACCCCACAGGCCTGGCCCTGGCTGAGAGGGAGTTGGAGTCCCCGGACTGGGGCAGCCCCTCTGCACCTGGGGTGGTGGAGCAGGAGCTTGGCTGCCAGCGGGGTTTCCTCCCAGCTCTGGGAGCCACCTCGCTGCAAACGCTGTGACTTCTGAGCGCCGCCGTCTCCGTTTGACACTGTTAATCCTTTAGGTGACTTTTTTTTTTTTTTTTTTAGATGGAGTTTTCTTCGTTACCCAGGCTGGCGTGCAGCGGCACGATCTCAGCTCACTGCAACCTCTGCCTCCGGGGTTCAAGTGCTTCTCCCGCCTCAGCCTCCCAAGTAGCTAGGATTACAAGTGCCCAACACCATGCCCAGTTAATTTTTGTATTTTTCATAGAGACAGGGTTTCACCATGTTAGTCAGGATGGTCTCAAACTCCTGATCTCAGGTGATCCGCCCACCTCCGCCTCCCAAAGTGCTGGGATTATAGGCATGAGGCACCATGCCCGGCCTAGGTGACTTCATGGTGAGATAACGCACAGGCATGGTGAGCAGCGTGGCAGAGGACCCGTGTGCAGGGCCCTGTCTCCCGCCAGGGACCCCTTCATCTGGGAAACCTCCACTGCAGGACAGGGACGCCGTGTCGTCAGGACGCAGGGTCTCTCCAGGGCACCCGAACCTCCTCTGAGCCTCTTTACACTCTTTGGCTGCGTGTTTTCTTCTCTGTGGCGAAAGGTACATGACGTTTTATTGACCATGTCAGCCACTGGCAAGCGTGCAAATCAGTGGCTTTAGTCCATTTGTAATGCAGCTGGACCCCACCCTTTCCTGATTCCCGCAGGCCAGGGCTGAGGGCGGGGAGGGGCCTGTGCAGCAGCCTGAGACCGGCTGTCCAATGGCAGGGCTCCCTTCTGGGAAAGCCATGGTCCCCTGGGGCCAGCCTTCCCCCAGCAATGGTGGTTCACACGTCTCTCCATCCCACTTCCGGTGCAAAAGCGACACAGACAGATGCAAACACAAACAATGCAGACGTGGAGGAGGGAGAAAGTGAAAGTGGTTTTGGAGCCCCTCCAGCCACCGTCTGGGGACACCTGCCGGAGGCCAGCGTGGTTGGTGCTCGCTGGAGGGCTGGCCAGGCCTGGGAGCCGATCCTCTCAACAAAGTTCAACCCCAGGGATGAGCCCAGCCAGAGAAGGAGAGCTCTTTGCCTCCGGAGCTGCTGCCCTGGCAGAGCCATGCCGGGAGCCCGAATTCCAGTCGAGACAGTTCTGGACCCAGTTGTGTCTCCCCTGATTTTCTGTGTGGAGCCCTAAGCCCCAGTGATGCTGCATTTGGAGGTGGACTTGTAGGGAGGGAGAGACACCAGGCCCCCTCTCTGCCCTGGCCAAGGGGAAGGCTGGGTGAGGACATAATCAGAAGGTCCCGTCTGCAAGCCAGGAAGAGACGCTCCCTGGAACCAACCCGGCCTGTGCTGGCTCCGGGGCCTCTCGCCTCCAGGACTGTGGGAAAATGGTGTCCATGGCTTCAGACACCCAGGCTGTGGGACTGTGTCCTAGCCAGTCGAACAGACTAACACAGCCAAGAAAAGCCTGCACACGCGGGTAAACATACATGCACAGAGAAGCAAACAGTGCCGAGGGGAGGGGACACCAGACCTTGAGGAAGTGAACCCAGGGCAGGGCCGGGACGGGAGTGGCTGGGGTGGGGAGACCTGGGTGTGCCGGAGCCCACAGTGGAGCAGGTGGAATGCGACCTCCTCAGAGCCTGTGACTATCAGGGAAGCAGCGGCCCAAAGAGGCGCTAGCAGGCAGCCAGGGGCAGGGCCCCAGCGGGTGTCAACGTCTTCTGAGAGCTGGGCACAGCCTGGGCTTTTCCCAGGATGGGGCTGGACCTCCCAGGGGCTTGGGGGCTGGGCCAAGGCTCCTGGATTCATCAGGTTGCAACCACACTGGGATTGTGGGCCACGGGTCTGTTGGGTGCAGACGGACCCAAGGGATGGACAGACATAGGACAGCCTGGTACCAATTCCCACTTAGAAACATCACCTGCTTCAAGGTCCATATGACATCCAATAATGCACATCTGCTGTGCGACTGTGAGCCTTGCATCTGGCAAGCACCTGCCCTCACATAACCACCCTCATTTTTGTGATGAAGACATTTCCAACAAAGTTCCCTTGTTGAGCTTTTATGAGGTGAATTATGTTTCCCCCAATTCACAGGTCTAAGTCCTACACCCCAGTGTGACTGTGTTGAGAGAAGGAGTCCTTAAAGAGCTGGTTAAGGTGAAGAGACGTAATGATGGCCAGCACTACACAGGAGGACGGGTGTCCTTACAGGAAGAGGAGGCAGCAGGGTCCTGGGGGCAGAGGGATGACCCTGGGAGGACATAGGGAGCAGGTACCGCCCAGGAGGGAACCAACCCCACCTGCCTCTGCATTTGGACTTCCAGCCCCCAGAACTATGAGAACATCACCTTTCCATTTCTTGAGCCTCCAACTCTGTGGCTCTTTGTTTTGATACCCCAGCACCATGAACCCCTTCCCAACCCCTCCCCAGCCCTGGCCCCATCTTCCTTGACCTCTCTCTCCCTGCAGATTAGATCTGTCTGTCCCAGAATTTCACCTGAAGCACAAAGTGTGGCACCTCGGGGCCTGGCTCCCTTCACGTGGCCTCATGCCTGCACATTCGTCCGCCATGCAGTGTGTGTCCACGGTTGCCAAGTAGCATCTCATTGTGTGGCTCTAGCCCAGTGGGTTAATCTGTTCACCGGCTGGTGGGCGTGGCAGTGGTTTCCAGCTCTTGGCTATCACAGAGAAAGTGAGTGTGAACTTCCGCACACATGTTTTGCTGAGGACAAATCCTTTCATTTCACTTGGTTACTAGGAGTGGAATTGCCGGGCCCTAGGGAAGGTGTGTGTTTCTCTCTAAAAGAATTGGCCAAACCGATGTCCAAAGTTGTACCATTTTAGGCTCCCGCCAGCAGCACGTGGGAGCTCGAATTACTCCGTGTCCTTCCCACACTTGGTGTAGTCAGAGCGTTTCCTCTCCATCACTGTGACGGGCGTGGAGTGGAATCTCACGGTGGTTTTCACGCCGTTTCCCAAATGACTGTGGACACTGACCACACTTTCGTGGCCACGGGGGCGTGGATTTGGTGAGGTTCAAATCCTGCCCATTAAAAAACAATAGTGCTGTTTGTCCTCGTGTTGACTTGTAAGAAT